ATTTTTATATTCACCTAAGAGCTTTCACATCTGGGGGCTTCTGAAAAGACGTCCTTGAAGCCACTCTGTGAACAGCTGCAGGGTTAAGTGCCTTGCTCAGGGGAACTCTGTGCTATTCATTCATTCAGTGGAGGTTGTTACTCTCTCATTTCCTTTGCCAAGACATTCCCAGCTTCTCTGAGGATTCAGGTCAGCAGCTTTAACCTTTAGCTCAGAGACTCTGTAAATGCCACAGTATCTGTCCTGCTTATTGCCTTACTAAAGCTGGTGCTGGATCACCTCTCACCAATTTTAGCTTATTATTGAAATAGTTATTAAAGGAAAAACCAAACCTCTTTATCGAGCACTTCAAACAAAATACAGAACAAAATAAAAGGGATATAAACAATATTCACAAACTCTAATTATTAAAGTACATAATTAGATACATATAATAAATATACATACTGTGCATTGTGGGTGTGTCTTTATCCATAGTGCCTTATAATTCCTATTACATATAAAAAAAATCCCATTTAAATTCATAAATAAAAGAAAAAAACATTTTATTTGCATACAGCACAGAATAAAAAAAAACCCAATACCAAAGTATTGATATGTTTCTCTCAAGTGTATGTGTGTGTAAATGTATCCACGTGTGTGAGTCAGTACCTGGAAATGGGCAGGACGCCATGTTTGCTCTGATGAACATTATCACCACCTCGCTAAGCACAGACATACCCTGCAGATATAAACAGAAACATACAGAGAAAAATGCACCCGAGTACACGCCTCTGAGAGGCAAATGAGTGGACACACAGCCATACTAAGATGACAGGTGTTTGCAGCATGGTTCAGCTGTAATGATGGCACAGTCCAAGAGATACAGGTAATTGCAGAATCCACACACACAAAGATACACACTCAACTGTGTGTTGTGTAATGTCCTGACAACTTAGAACAAGGGGCTCTTCTGGGCCTCTTAAGCCTGAAGTGGATGGTGAGTGTTAGAAAAGGTCAAAAAAAGGGGAAATTAAAGTGGACAAAATCTCATCCTCATGATGGGCATGTTTTGAAATTATAGAAAACACCCGAAGGTAGTGAGAAACTCTTATAAGCAGCTATACAACAATATGCATACCTGGAAACAGACATGAGTGAGTCGTTCAGCTGGAACCAGAGAAAAGAGGATTTGAAACATATGTTAGAAAATAGATGTAGTATCTTCCAAACACTGTATCTAAATGCCATAAAGGTTACTGATGTCAGTCATTGTGGTATTTGATGGCAGATATCCTGCCCAGCTCAAGGTTCAGCACTCTGGACAGCGCTCATCACACATCTGCCTCAAGGAACTATTCTGTAACTCTATCTAAATAGACAACTCAGTGGAAGAGGATTGTGGAGGTTGTTTGAGAATGAACAGTCAATATGTATGATAATTCATGAGCACATAACCCAGAGACATTTACAGCAACTATGACTGTGCGTTCTAATTAATTGGCCTCTTTCTCTCCACTTCAATTCCTTTCTGCCTTTCTTCTTTCCCTCTGTTGCACCTAATCTGCCTCCAGCTGTTTGATCTCGCTCTTCGCTGTCTTCCCACGACTTGCAACCTCCCTCTGCCTCTCTTTGCCTTCTCCTGTCATCCTGTTGTTTCAGAACAACGACAGTAGCAGCTGACTGACTTTGTTTGAACAATTAGAGATATAAATACCCTC